CACAAGATCCATTAACTTATTAAAAAAAGCATAATTCTCCAACTATTCTTTAATGAGCTAAACAAGACAATCATTTGAAGATAGCAAAGTCAAACCAACCAATAGAACAAACATATATGCTCACGTTAAACAAATAAAGAGTTACCAACGATGGCCGAAGGAGATGAATCACTACAAGAAAAAAGTTATATTGTGACAATATACTTCGTAACAATTAAAAAAGTTTGTAGCAATAAAAATATTGTGTCAAATTTGTTACAATTTATATCAATAGTATAATAAAGTAGTTGCAAATGTTTATTTGTAACAAAAACCTTACAATATTTGGGACGAAATTATTTAGTTAACAATACATCACAGACGGCGACGAGACATATTAGCTACAAAATTATCACAACTACGGACTAAAAATATTGTCCAAAAATTTGTTGTAATTGGTGACTTTCCTAACGTCATGATTCCGTCACTTATTTCTATGAAATTATAGTTTTAAATCGTCACAAAAAATGACAAAGAAAACGTTGTTAATCCATGACAATTATTAACCAAAACAAAGTCTTAAAACTGTCTTATTTAGTGACTGCTAGAACGTCTTCATTTTGTTACAAATGATTACTGAAATATCATCACCAATTGGTTTTAATTTGCGACTATTTCCTATGTTAATTTCGTCATGCTTTATCACTAAAACTCCATCACAAATTCATATAAATTAGCTAGTATTTTAACGTTTTCAAAAACTAATATTCATTACTAATTTTTGTCACAATCATATGTTCTTACGTCTTAACCAACTAAATAATTTTTCTATTCAAATTTATAAAAAATTAGCTATTCATTATGGTTTTGACTAAAAAACACGTTATAGAAGATTACATAACTGAAAATCAACTTCCTAAAAAACAGGATTTAAATTAAAATGATTCATAAATTAAATACCTTCATTGTCTTAAAAAACATGAAAAGCAAACTGAAATACAAAGCAAACTAAAACAAACTGAAGCACAAAGTAAACTAAAATAAACTAGATAGTGTGGGAAACAAGTAGTTCCTCATGGCAGCTTATAGAGAAACAAATGTTCCTCATAATGTAGTAGAAGCCGAAGTTCCTGCAAGTGGAGAGAAGAAGGGATATTCTGACCTGATTGAACTAATTGCTCCATGGTCTCAAATCGCTTTCGAAAGAGCCCATTCTCATCAAGACTCGTCTTCAATTCATTTTCCAATTCTTCTATTCGGTGAGTTATCGTTCCCGCATCTTCAACAGCTTAATCTGGAGAAGTACCTAAAGACATAGCGCTATTTTGAAGTGATCTGATGCCGAATACACGATCTTTTTTTTGAAATTCCAGCAATCTACAAAAACACAAGTTCATGAACAATGCGAAATGTATATAACTGTTATCTTTTTCTTTTAACGCTAAGCATAATTTTATCAAACTAAACCATGAATATCAGTTTGAAATAATAAAACATAGGACCAGCTCAACAAACATAACATGTATCATCACCTTAGTAATTAAGATACCTTAGTAACATGTTTCAAATTATAAAACATAATATCAGATTTCTTATATGTATCTAATGAAACTACCTTAATAACATAAACAAAACATGTATTTATGATCTTAGCAAAGAGAGACATCCTTAACAAAATGAACTTGCTAACTATAACTCAATAATTATTAAGATAACAATAGGAGATTAGATATTACCTTAACATAGATCTCTTTCTTCTGTTTCTAAGGTAAGAGCATCAACAGTCAATGGCTCTCCATTGGAAGACTGTAGTTGTGACAGATGTTCTTGCACAAGCTTATCATATTTTCAGCAATTTGACGTGCTCTTTCATCAACGTATGTACCGTCAGGTTTCTGATGAGTTTTTTTTTTTCATCATAGCAAGAAAGAAAGAGTCCTCATTGTTTGCCTCCTACAAACAAAACAGTTACAACTATCAATATTGTGAAAAAAGAACAATGGAAAAGTTAATGAAAATGAAGCACTACCAAAATATCTTACACTTTCACATAAGAACGAGACCCAACTCTGTGTCGATAAACACCTAAACCGTAACGGTCAGACAGCCGAGAAGCACATACTTCTTTGCTTTTCTGTATGGTTTTTGGTGTCCTCCAATGAGCTAATATCTGACTCCAATTGGTCCAACAGAATCCACTCAGGTTTTACTCCTCTGGACTTTGCAAGGTTACCCATTCTTTTGAGGCGACTGGCAGCAAGCTTATCAAAGTTGGTTTTAACCAAATGCACAATCTTAGGATCCCACTCATACCTTGTCTAAAATACATATAATATCAGATATATGTGAAGTATTAAACCAATCTGAAGAATGTTAGATAGATGTTAATTAAAATTTTAAAACGAACCTTAAAAGTAAAATACCATGCTTCTTTATAAAAGAGTGGCACCTTTGACCATCTGTACCATGATCCCTTGAAACTTCCTTCAATGACCTTTCTGACACATGTTGATTCTTGAGTATCATGATTGAACCTGTTGCAAATGTATTTAACGTATTTCGGTTTTTAGTTTTTACATAAAATAGTGTTTAAAATAAAGTTAAGTACCATTTTGCTCCATTTTGTCGAGATGGGTGCATCACTCGAGAATAACGTTGTTGAAGTGTGATCTCCTCCACAGTAGGTGGAGTCAATGGAGCTGGTGCATACAAAGCTCCAATTTAAGAACTTGAACCTCTCCCAAAAAATGACCAACTTGTGGACGCATCTCTGGAAAATTTAAAATACAATGGAAGGTGAGTGACGACATGTAATACTACTAGAAACAATGCATAGTTCTCTCTCCATTTAAC